GGCTCTGGACAAAATTCGCTAAAATCAGTTACTATTAAACTGACAGGCTGAATACGTCCCGAAAAAAAAAAGCGTATAATTAAAAATGATGTAATAGTCCTTAAAATAATTCCTACCAGGGGCAAAAACTACCATTAATGCAGCTTCAAACTTCTTTCTAGACCAGTGAAAACAGACAAAAAATACTTACCCAAACACCCAGCATTGTGTGCCAACTCGTTTACACTGAGTGTCTGTCAGGTACGCATAATATTGTCTGAAAGGAGGAGAAAAAAGAAAATTTTAATTAAACTTTTATGTTTTCCACACACACATACAAAGAATTAAATGTCAAAAAGCATCTGAAAAAGCTACCACTTCCCCACAAAACAATTTGTAATATCAGGATTAAATGCTGTTCAGAATTTTAGTTTAAAAACATTCTTATCAACAGAATGTGAAGAATTACGAGTCAGAGATGTCTATGTATTGTGTTGCAGAGATATTTACTGAAGTTAGCATGCTAACCAGCTAGCCCTTACCCGTCCTGTCTTGTAATACCAATTTGTATCTCAAGAGTCCGATAGTATAGCTCAGGCCTCCCCCTGTAGTTTTAGCCAGGAGATGTCTGCGAGCAGCGAGTTTACTAAGTTACACAAGCTCTCTAAATGTTTTCTAATCTAATGAATAAACAAAACAAACTCACAAAATGTCAAGAAAGGAAATACTCTTACGCTTATTTTCCTTACCAAACAAAAATACAACTGTACACCTTCTAAACTCAAATTTCTCTCTTTCACCGAACTAAATGCCTTGTTAACTCATCATAAAACACACTGCATTCAAACTTGAATACAGAAAACTAAATAAATCTCACCAAAACTGTCTTACCAGACAGGAGTCAGTCTCCCAGCCCGAGCTGCTGTAACTCACCTCTGTACTGTACTACTTGTCGTTAAACTGGCTTCTGTTGGTCTCTGAGACTGTGGTAACTTGGAGGCTGCTAAGTTAACTGCCAACTGAGCTAACGAGCTAATGGAATTTAGCAGCAGTTATGACCCGATATGTGATATGCTGCACCCTATTCTGTTTGGAGTATGAATTTGTCAGGTCGAGAATGTTGTATATCACATTTATTGTCGGCCATAGTTGTAGTGTAAAGCTGTCATTGTGCAGGTTGAACATACCGTACAGTAGGTGCTGTGATGGCTCCAACGAGGAGGATACGACACCAGCTGAGAGGGTGAGACGCCTGGAAGACGAAGATGTGCTTGAGGAAGAACGTGTTCAACTCTGTCAGCTGTGAAGATAAGTGATGTAAAACAGACAACATTTTAAAAGGATTTCTTTTACCGAGTACCGAAGACAATCTTATGACTATGTCTGAGTCTACCTGCCATAGGATCATAAAAAGATAGATGCCTGCAAGCCTCTGGAAGGAGGACTTTGGGTCAAACCAGCGCACATACGTCCAGCTGGCCGGAGTGAACTGGAGGACGGCGCGCTTTATCTTCCCAGTGGTGCTGTGGATTTCCCTGAACAGAGTATGTGCGCATTTGAAGATACTGAGATACATACACGCAACCAATCTTGCATCACACAATAACACAGGAAAATCTATAATGCTAGTATTATAAAATATCTACTTTATGTTACACACAATCAATCTATTCTATTGGGGATCTGCCAGTACAAACTGATTTTGTAGCTGTATCAAAAGAAAACAACATAAAAAAGATCTTTTTACCTTTTACTTTTATGTTTTTTAGGCTTCTGTTTTTTTAAGGATTTGTGGAATTCATGAATATACAAAGATAACAAACAAAGAAAAGAAAAGGTAAAAAGATAATCTTTACTGACTTGATGCTGGCCCAGCGGTAGGTTCTCATCTCCAAAAACCGGCAGGTGGTCATACCCAGCCAGATGCCTCCTCCATTACACAACAGTATGTCCAGTATCACCTGATCCCACCAGCACTCTGCAAAGTTTGGCAGCATGTGCATGAAGAACAGCTGGGAAGGAGAGTGAAAATAAAATTATTTATGTGGTGAAAGAGACACATCTGGTATTGAGCTAAATCTTGTAATCTAATCCCTCCAGTCAACAACTGGCAGCAGTCAAGGCAGCAGCACTTGTGTGCAGAAACTACCGCTCAAACTACTTGTAATGAGTTTCTCCCAAACAAACAATCACTGTTGCTTGCATAGACCAAGCTGAGGCAAGTAATGAATTTTGTTGAACAACCTAGTAGACTGAATTTCTTTTTAGCTCCTTGGACAGCTGAGATTCACGTAACAGATTTTTTTTAGCAGATCAAGCCTGACCCCATTTTGAACACATGCACGCTACCTCAGTAAGCTCCCAGGTGATGCTGATAGTCCAACAGAGGCCGTAGCTGCGGATGAGCAGCGCCTTCATGGCCCAGCCTCCAAAGTGGCCGAATGCGAAGATGTCGCAGTGGCTCAGGATCCGTTCCCATGTGATCACTGTGCAGTTTACAGCATATTCCTGTCAGGGGAAAGAGGAGTGAATTAAAAGAAACACAATAGCAACCACAAAAAAACCCAAACAATTTTATAGCTGAAGAGAAATGATTCTTCTCATATTCATGATCAAATCAATCTATTCATAGATGTAGAGCACAAATGATATGCTCTGAAAGCTTTAGGTAAATCTACTGAACCAGACACTCCATCGACTCCGCAACTAGAAAGCCTATTAACAAGTAATAATAAGTACCTATGCTCTAGCGTAGACTAGTATACTTATAATAATACTTTTTTGGAACCTATTTTCTTCTCTACTAAGAGATTTTTAAAACTATTTTGGCATTAGGTTAGACTAAAATGGAGACCAGGTCAATTCATGTCAAACCAGTTTTTTTCCAGAGAGCCCAAGATCACCAGTTTGTCTCAGAGCTCTTTACAATCTGTACAACACACACCACCCTCTGAAAAGGAAAAACTTTACCAAAAAACATGGGAATTATTATTTATAACTTAAATATACTCTTTGTATTAACACAGCCCTTTCTGTTTATTGATGTAGATTCTCAGAATGGAGCTGATCAGTGATTCATGTGCGATCATGTTCACATCCAGAGATTTGTCTTAAGAGAACCGAAAGAGAGAAGGCTTCTCACTGTGCAGTGAGCTTGCTCTGATGGTTCAAATGACCATGATATCCTCACCATGATATCGGCTTCCCGTGTGGCATAGCGCAGATTTGGGTCCAGCCAGTACATCAGCATCTTTACTTGGTCCCAGTTGAGGAAGATGAGAAACACAAGAAACAGGAAGTACATAACACTGAGACCTACCCAGGACAGAAGAAAGAGAGAGAGGAAAAGGAAAAATTAAAATTGGATCCAAGAAGAAAAAATTTGGTTGTGCAGTGTGAGTGAGACATATGTGGGTGAACACTCACCGAACACCATTCGCCATATTGCAGGGTGAGGCCTAGTAAAAGGTCCTGATGAAGAAAGCATCATCCCGGTAAGTAATTTGTGGTGTGTTTGCACTGTTCATAGTAGAGGCAAATTAAAGCTGGGGTAGGCAATTTATTTCAGAGGTATTATTTTTATATTTGTTATTCACTTTACATCCCGACAGCAATCAATTTATCAAACGCTCAACAAAACAACACAAAAAAAAAGGAAAAAAAAAAAGAAAATCTGTGGCTGTTGCAGGTCATAAGCACAACCAATCATTTCTTTGATCTGAAATAAATGACTGGCTGGCCTACATGCCTGTCTACCTGCATGCACTCTGCCCGAAATGTGTTTTGTGGGAGTGCCTTTGGAGGGAGGTGTGAAGGGAGGGAGTGTAATTTTTTCTGTTGAATTCTTTCAAAATCTAGCTGTCTCTTGCTAGTTGAATAGTTGCCTACCCCAGCTTTAACTCAAAGGCCACTTACTCGTTTTTTTCCATAGTAACCAACCCTATCTCTATCTGAATCAGGACATATTTATAGACCGGCATTTTGTCTTTTCATCTGATATTTGTGTCAACAATTCCTTAAAATCCGCAGATTATTCTCTTGATAAAGTGACTGACATGAGTGAAAGCAGCAAATCCTCACATTTAAGAATCTGGAAGCAGAGAATATTTGGTATTTGTGCTGGAAAAGACACTTAAACTATTAAATAATTATCAAAATAGTTGATCACAATTGACTAATTGTTTCAGAACTACACTGGACAAGACAATAAAATAGCATGTGCTGGTACTTAATAACATACCATTCAATTATGTAGCCACAGTAAGTTTAGTTACATAACTCACCATTTGGAAATGCTAGGACACTGATGACCAAGAAGAAGGAGACGACCACAAACAGACCAACTCGGAGGTTGTTGTCAGAGTGCTCATCATCCCTGTAACAATACAGTATCACATTTTAACAAAGGGAAGCTTATGTTCCTAGATATTCAGCACTGTGAATATTACATGCAGTTAAAACGTTTATTAAACAGAAGTTTGTCAAAATAAATGTTCACACAGTACTTTACCTGGTAAACACAAAGTACATGAGGCTGAGCACAGTAACTGTCAGGAGGGTTATGGTGTGTGGCTTATAGAAGAAGTCCATGCAGATGTCCTCCACTTGTTGCTCATTTATCATGCGGAAATGTAACTTATAGTTGACATCATCCTTCCGAGGTGTTCGGTGAGCCTCGGTTGCTGCAAGGTCGCTGTTGTGGGCTACTTTCTTCATTTTTACCAGTTTAATTTTAACAGCTAATACTAGAAATTGTAAAAGCAGAAAGACTAGATGATGATGCGAAGACTCAAGAATGAAGCCTGAAAACAAGCTAAACCACAGAGCTCATGGGGGTGTTTGTACATCGAAATACGCGTTCTATTATTCACCAAAACAAATATTATACATTGACAATAAGATATCTTAATCGCATTTTAACTACAGTCCTTGTATTGAATTAAAATTAGAGATTTTATTTATTTATCCTTGTGAGTATATTATTTGCTTTTAGTGGACCCCACAAATAAGTCGTTGTGGTACGTCCCACATTGTGACACTTCCGCGCAGTGCTTCCGGTAACATACACGTGAAACCGGTTGACATTCCTCTGCACCCTGGTTGATGACGGAATTGAGCTGAAAATGATGTGTTTTCATTCATAAGTTGTGAGTTGAAAACTTAACAATCTAAAGTAATACGCTGGCTTTGCCTGTTTTTTTTTTTCAGGCTAAAGAGGCGTGTTATCCTGATAGCTTGCTCTGGCTCAAGCTAGGTTCATGAAGGGCAACAATTCAGGCTCATATTTCCATTTTATATCCTACCTGCATTGATAGATAACTAATAGAAAGGTATATTGTTCTAAATCATTCGCTGTAGATTTGAATTGCACTGGTGGTTAAGCTTTGTTTCTTTCTACACGCCATCACACTCATGAAGAGCTAAATTAGCCAGTAGAGGTCTAAAACAATTCAAGGATTGTAATTAACAGTCTGGTAAAAAGAAATACCGTTTGCAACTCCCTTATGCTACTTAGCACACAATAAATATCAATATAATATACAGTACAACAATCACAAAGACACAACGAACAGAAATTACCTATATTACATGGAGCAGTGCTGAGGATAAATTGACTTAAATTTAAGAGTCTGATAGCCTGGGGGAAAAAGCTGTCCTGCAGTCTGGTGCTGTGGCAGCAGAAACTTCTGTATCTCTTCCTAGAAGGCAGCAGAGTGAACAGGCTGTGGCTAGGGTGGGTGCTGTTTTTAAATTTTAATTTAATTTAGGTGTAGAGATTGAAACTGTTTTGTATATTTTACAGGTACTCTCCAGGTTTTGCATGATGATAGGACAAAGTCTTGTTCTGATAGTACCAAGCTCTAAAAATGCGGTTGATGGTATCAGACAGAGTGGACTGTCCTTGGCTAGAGATAATAATAGTAATTCTTATATTGAATGTCATACCTCCCAAACCATGATTTTTTGTTTTGCAGAATCACCATGGCTTCATCCTGTACACAGCTGTGTCTACAAGGCAGATGTCTTCTTCGCTCCAGGACAGTGGCTAGTACATGGCAGTATTCCACTCAAGTTCGCCATTGCACCACAGTTACAAGGTTACCCACCAGAATCCTAAATGGATCCTCACTTATCAAAGGGAATCACACAGCAACTCAGGTGAGACAGCGGTGGAAACAACAGATGTTCTCTTACAGTGACTTCGCTACTAAACATCTGGCAAGTGACGCTAAGGAAGACAAGGCTATTGAAGAATTGTCGAGTGCTAATGTCGTAGCATACAAGAGCCCCCTGTTGCCAATCAGAGATGCTGTGCCAATGAGTGAAAGCCAGATGCCAATAGGTACATATTGGTTTGCTGTTGTTGACCATAAAAAACTCTTCATTCATCATTAGAATTCAATTTATATGTTTTTTTATCTTGAAAGGGAGTTGGATAACTTACTTTCTCTTTTTTTTCTTAATTTTCCAGATCTGGATGCCACTGAATTTTCAGCATTAGAGGAGATTGGTGATGAAGAGGCTGTCAGTATATCTGTTCCTTCTGCCCTGCCTCCAGCGTCCACCTCTCTTAGAGACTACGTTGACCAGTCTGAGACACTCAGCAAACTAGTACAGCTAGGTAATTTAACAGCAGACTTTTAAATATATACTGTTGAGAACAGTATAAATCACATTGACTTGTAGTTTGGAAGCATATTCAGATTCATGGATACACTTTTATGATCATTCATCCTCTCGTTGCAGGTGTAAACATGTGGAAGCTTGAACAAAGGCCCAACGTGGGCTCCATGCTGCTGAGGCTCAACTTTAACACAGATGTAGCCCCGAGGCTGCTGTTTCTCAAAGAGATTGGGGTGGAGGACTCCCGCTTTGGCTATATTGTCACCCACAACCCCTTCATTCTCACAGAGAGTTTGGAAAACCTACAGGCCAGGTGATGTGAAGGGATCTCATAAGATGCCTTTAATATTAACTTAATTTTTTTTATCCCAAATGAAGTCAGTCTGATGAGATAAGTTACACAAAACTATTTAACTGTATACTGTAGTTCCTTCTTTGCAGATGCTCTTGCTATGATCTTAATAATGTTCTGTATGCTGTTGTTTCTAAAGGGTGAACTATCTCAAGTCAAAGAAGTTTAGTTCTGAGACTGTTGCATCCATGGTGTCCAGAGCTCCATATCTGCTTAACTTCAGTGTGAAGAGGCTGGACAACAGACTGGGCTTCTATCAGCAACAACTCAACCTCAGTGCTTCTAATGTAAGCATCTTTAACTCATGTATGAGGTCTCATTGATAATCCCAGCCATGTTTCCAACAATTGTTTTTGTACAGTGTAGTATCCCAGTGCGTTGTACATTTTTCACATTAAGAAATTGCGACTTTGTTGGTAGCAAAAGAAATCATAGCTAGTTTTGTTTCTTTCTTCAGACACGGGACATTGTAGCTCGTCTACCCAGGTTACTGTGTGGCAGTTTGGAGCCTGTTAAAGAGAATTTGAAGGTAGTGAATGACAAAATACATCATTAGAAATCATTGTTTGAGTGACCTTCAGGTGTTGTGTTTAAAGACTTTTTGTAAATGTGTTCCACAGGTGTGTGAAATAGAGCTTGGCTTTAAGAAGAATGAGATCCAACACATGGTTATCGCTGTCCCAAAAGTGCTGACTGCCAACAAAAGGAAGCTAACACAAATATTTGACTTCCTCCACAATACCATGAAGGTGCCGCACCATCTGATCACCAAGTTCCCACAGGTAGATTGACTCCTGTTTTTTTTCACCAGATAATTGTCACTGTGAATATTCAGGAGTATAACTTGAGAGTCTGATATATCTTCCCAAAGGTCCTCAATACCAAGTTCCTGCGTATCCAGGAGCGCCACCTGTTCCTCGAGTACCTTGGAAAGGCTCAGTATGACCCAACTCAGCCCAACTTTATCTCTCTGGGCCGCCTGGTGTCTTTGCCCAATGAGACTTTTTGCACAGAGTTGGCTTTGGCCACACTGGAAGATTTTTATTTGTTCCAAAAAACACTTTGAATCTTTGTGAGGGGGCATAAATATGACTTTGGACAACAAATGGTCAAGCAAACAGAATAAATACCATAATGTCAGATACATGCAGATATGAAACTGAGTTTGCTTTGTAAATGTGATGTTTAATAAATGTACACAATGTATATCAGCTCTTCTGCCTGAAATATTTCTCTTATTTACGGCAACTGTCTGTCTAAAAAGACCATAAATGTTGCTGCAAAACATTTGCTTCAGTTGAGGGGCTGTGTATAAAATGATCATCGAATGTGTTGTTGAAAGCAGCCTGTAAAGAGAGTGGATTGTGATTTTCAGTGTGAAAAGGGTTTGTTCAGTGGTGAAATGTGACAATTTACTCAAGCACCATACTGTATTTATGAAGACAAAGGACTATTTACTTTAGCATTTTCATTTCATATGCTACTTAATACTTCTGCTCCACTACTTTTCGGAGTCTATTTTACCCCATTACATTTGTCCAACAGTGATAGTTTCAGAATTTTTTGACACCATATGCAAGACATGAAAACAGTTCATGCTTTATTTTGCATTGTTATATAGATTTTTATGTGAATGCATCAGGAATAACAATGAATTAATAAAAAATACTATATTTAACATAACACTGAAAAGGGTCAGTCAACTGCATAATGTATACTTTTACTACTAGTACTAATACTATAGTTTTTTATTTTTATTTTAACCAATTACTACTACTTGTAATTGGTATTGTTGCTTTTATTTAATGTATACCTATGCAACCATTGCTCTTTTTACTACTGTACCTTCATATGAAAGCACAGTGTTGATCAAATTATAAAGATAGCTAGCTATTTTTCCTATCGGACGTTACTTTGTTGTATAGATTTGTATTATCCCCGACGTTTCCAACGAAAGATTTTTTTTTGTTTCCAAAGAAAGCTGTAAACACGCAGCGATGTAAAATTGCGCAATTTCCCATTGACCTGAATGCTCCTTACCCATAACGCACCGCGATCATTCTTAGAGGTAAAAATGGCGACGAGGACACCAGGTAAATGAACATCAATCTTTTCTGAGATTTCCAGTTTTAAATGAACTCGCTAAAGACCATTTTATACTGGTATTCCATGCTGCTTGTTATACTGTAACACATGACATTGTGTTGTGTTAATTTGTCCTGGTGAATGTGTCCTTTGGCGCGTTTGACTTGTGTGTGTCCTCTAGTGTCCCCGTGCTAACGGATGCTAAGGGTGCAGCTTAGCTAACGTTAGCTCAGCGTTAGCCTCTATTCACAGTATGTCAACAACTAGACACCCACACTGACGTCCCTTTAGTGATTAAAAGTGTCCGAGCCAAACAGCGGTTATTGTTTCCATCTATCGATTGTTGTTATGCTGTAAAGTTGTCATCTATACTCCGGTGTCATCTAACGTTAATGTTAGCTCCTTACCATTACAGCTACTATCGTGTTGTTCCTTTCCAATGCACTGGAAGATGTAAATGATCTCAAAAGGATATGCTATCTACAGTTGTCATTCAATGCCTATTGTCTCTATCAGATAATGATTTGAACATAGTTACTAACTTTAAAGTCACAGGTCTCCTAATTTAGCATACCGTTACTTCAGATGGTCTACTGTAGTAAATACTATATAGGTAATGTGAAAGGTAAATGTACAGGAAAAATACATATGTACTTTAGAAGTAATACTGTATGACTGTTGCAAATCCTTTCTCCGTTACTTAAATGTTTGCTCTTAACTAAAATAAAGTTTTATCTGCCTGACTGATCCTGTATGTGTCTGTAATTGTCATGTTCACAGCAGCGACAGGCAGACTCCTGCTTGGGTTCCGCAAATGGTATTTCAACATGTGTGGCTTCAACAAGCTTGGTAAGCCCAAAGAATAATGTCTTCAAAACGCTACTCCATTGTTTCAAAGTTACCGTATGCCAAGACTGCCACTGAAAGTATGAATGTAGGGAGAAATCATTGTCTGGGATAAATATAGGCTATTGTGTAATTGGATTTCCATTTAGCATCTTCTTAAGCATTGTTTTCTGTGTCAGGTTTAATGCGTGATGACACAATCTATGAGGATTTAGATGTGAAAGAGGCCCTGAGGCGGCTTCCAGAACAGCAGTACAACGATAGGATGTTCAGGGTCAAGAGAGCCTTGGATCTCTCCATGAAGCAGCAGATCCTCCCGAAAGACCAATGGACGAAATATGAAGAGGTACATGAAACTCATTTAAATATGGTTTTTGTTCAGGGTAGAACTGGGGTTTAGTGTAAAGGCATAATATTATACTGCATGGTTTCCACACCCACTGGTATGTGGTGTAAATAGTGCCTGTAGGTTGTAAAAGCATTTTCTAAAAATCATTTCACATTACATGCTTACTTTTTTGACTTGCCTAATTATTTGTTTTGGCAGGCAGACATTAAAGAAATTGTGTATTTTCATTGTAAAGTATGAAATTGTTGTCATAATGTAAAACTTTTCAAGTGTCAGTAAATACAAAATGAACAATATAATATAGGCTTTAATCATGTCTAATTCTACCTACCTAAAGTCACCAAAATTGACAAAGTTGTGATATTGAAATCTCCTGATTTAATTAAAAAACCTCATAAATGTTTCTTATGTTTTCCCTTATAGGATGTCCATTACCTGACACCGTATCTGGATGAGGTGATCCGTGAGAGGAAAGAAAGAGAGGAGTGGATGAAGAAATAGATGGTTCCCGGTCAAAGCTGTTAATCTTTGTCCTTGGTTGGTGCATGGTTCCCCCGTGGCGTAGTATTTAAAATGAAATGTGATCTATATAAAACAGTGCTCATTAAAGAAATGTAAATTTTGGAAGTGTCACCTTATTTAATGGCTAGTAGGCTGTTTGAAGATTTGATTTATTGGTATGACAAAATGAAACTGTTACATTTATTTACTTGCTAAATCAGATGTGTCCCATGTTTCAAATATGTGCTTTTACCTTTACAAATCCAACTATATACACAACAAATAAACCAGAAAATAGACATAAGAACATGTACAAAAGATACAGGGAGGAAAATGTCCCAGGCAAACTTCAAGTATCTACCATAACCACTACAGTAGCTAAATCTATCTGCACTGCACATGTAATTGGTTTACAGACTGTAAGGAGCACTTGGAAGAAAATAATGATCCTCTGTTGAGATATCATCTCCTCAGGACCGGAAGTGTTGTATATAATGTTAATCCATATCCTAGTTTACTAGATCTATTGTCACAGTGTTGGCCTTAAGTCATACATAGTACAGTGATGACAGTTTTCTAGCTAACTATACTATGGTGTTTAGTAGAGCCTTGAACACAACCTTGAAAAGCAATAAACTGTCTGCAGGGGTCATTCATATTCAACACAAGTGTGAACATTTCTGTAAGGTTTGAAGATTCGGGTCTGCTTTACAGAAATGTCTAGATTCATATAAACAATCTTGAGTTTGTGATCCATTTATTTGGCAACCCTGTTAATTATCGCTCTGAGCCTGGGATCTCCTATTGCCCACGTCATTTATGGTTCCTATAAAGTTTCCAATGACGCTGTTGAAAGATTTTAACATCGACACTCCCAGCTCATTGCTGGTTTCATTGATGTCTGGGTCATAGGCCCCCATGAGCGGGGTGCACACGTCCACATTCTTTCTACCAGCTCCTTCCAGGATCCCAATCAGTTGGCCCCTGACCTCCTGAAACAACTCCCTGTTGTACTGCAGTAGGACTGAATCTTCAAGAGGATAAGTTACATCCTCAGAGTAGCACTCGCGGGGAACTGGTACCTCTATGTACTTTAAATTAGGAAATCCTGCAGATAGCATGGAGAACAACCTCCGCAGGGCTGCAGACGTCATAGGGTTTCCCAGGATTTTGAGCTCCTCCAGCACCTGGCAGCAAGCCAGAGCATTAGTAAAGGCATCCATATGCTCGTCCTCTATGTTACATTCTTCGAGGACCAGGCTGGTCAATGTGGCTGAGCAACGGCCGAGCAGTTTGTGGAAAGCGGAAGCGAAAGAGCTGAAGATGTCGTGTCCACTCATGTCCAGGCGGACCAGGGCCTCACTGTGGATGCTGTTGGAAAGGTACGTCATGTCCAAGCGGTTCAGGCAGCAGTTGGCCAACTCCAAGCACTGCAGTGGAGTGTTGAGAGGACTGGGTAAAGAAAAAGAGAGGTAAAAGGAAATTTTGTGGTATAAAAGGTCAATGGTACTCGAAATGAAAACACAATTGTACATTATTATGTAGTTAACAGCAGGCAGACACTTGCTATGGTTTGTGTTAGTCCTCAGGTAGGATTTGTCATGTAGGAGTGGTGCCAGAAATTCTAAAATGTGGAAACCAAATACCAAAAGTTGATGCCATCATCCATTTTTGGATCAAGGATTACTCTTGTCTGGTAAGCATTGGGATAAATTCTTAAATCCCCAAACTAATGTCCTTGTTTATAATTGAATTTGGCAATATTTGTTTTATTATAACAATTGTTTAAATGATATGCCAGATTTTAATCTACAGCTGTTTGCTCCATGCTCCTGTTTTTCCATTTGAATTCCATCAAGCAGGTTTCTGGCTAACCTGCAGCCGTTTGTCCTCAGGCTGGCAGCATGTCAGCAATTTTAACAACAAAATGCCTCCCATTGTTAAACAAGACCCTTAAAGCTGGAATGTGCTGTGGTGCTAGAGGCGATTATGGTGAGCTATATTAAAGCTCTTGATGCTGCAAAGTGCACGTAAGACTGAGATCAGAGCCACCCATCACCTCATTCACATAGATACATACACAAAACAGAGACTCTTTGTTGTCCTCCCCTGTCCATTTACTCACCTAAGTAGCCTTCGTATGTGTCCAGTTAGAGTGGAGAAACTAACATAGAGCTCAGTCAGGCTGCTCAGTTGAGCCAGCAGATTGCCGATGGTGGCCAGCAGGTCCTCATCATCAGAGCCCAACCTTCTAACATCCAACGCCCCTGCCGGCAGGGCCAGTGACTGTAATTTGGGGAATTTCACCCTGGACAGCAGCACCTCCAAGTGCGTGGCCTCCAGGGGAACATTGTGGACGAACTCCAGCTTTAAGATGGACTCAGGTTCTGCTAGGCGAAGGACATAGAACAACTGCTTGAGAGCGAGGGAATCAGCCCGGAAACTAACGAACCGAAGCTTCAGTGGACAGTAGCGGAGGAGGAGGAGGGCCTGAGCCACCAACTCATAGTTGCGGCCTGTGATGAAGCCGTTCAGACGGATGTCAATAGATGTGTCAAAGGCAGATCGGGACACACTGGCAGCTTGCATGGCCACCGTGGTCTCATAGCACATTTGGGTCAAGAGTTGGGTCCTTGCCCATCGACCCAGGGTGGACTGGCAGGGGCAAGACTGGTGCTCAATATCCTTCAGGGCAGTAAGGTCAACCACATGGAGTCTCTTGGCATAGGTTCTTGGAGGAGACAGCACATAATCCTTTAGAAAACAAGGGGAAATAATGTGTGTCAAATAAGTGTTTTGATGTGACTGTCTTATCAATCTATAATAATTTATGATAATTGTAAGCCAAATCAGTTTTGCTTAAGCCAGTTAGGCCACAAGTATAACAACGATCAAAGAAAAATGCAACTAAAACATGAGCATGGCATGAATATGATAAGACACACTACACTCCAGACTATTTAATTACCTTTAAGCCAGTTAGGATCGCAACCAGACAAAGCCGGCAGGTGCGGGAGGTGAGGTCCATCTGACAGTCAAATGTCTTTCCCAGGATCCTGTGTAGGTTAAGCTCAGGAAGAGGCCATGCTTGGACCAAAACATGCAGCATGTCAGCCTGCTCATGCAGGTAGCAGGCCTTAAAGAGAAGTGGGTAGAGGTTAAAAGACACACAGTTGAGTTCCTCCAGAGCACTTGGCCCGCTCTGGATGAAACCCTCAGCTGCAATGAATCGCAGTGACTTCATGTTTGGAGTTTTTTCCCCCCTGGTGTTTTCTTGTTCCAACTGGTCTGTGGGTTGCCTGGTTGTTGTTGAGCGCTGCAGCCAAACAGCTCTGCGTGTCAAGTGTTGTGGCTCTTCAATGGTCGCTGCTTTGTTGATTTCCTCTGTTGCAGTCTGTCTGGGTGTTGTGCATTTGTCTGGGGTCAGGCTTGTTATTGTGAAGCAGGAGCAAGGGACGGGGGTCTTGTGGTAGGGTAAGAGAGTAGAGGCTATTAATAGGAACAGCTGTCTCACGTCCATCGCTGGGTACGGTGTCTATCTGAACTTTTGCCAGAGAGATAAGTAGGAACAATATTTGAATGCCACCATTCACAACACGTCTTTGTGAGGCCTATGCTGCACACATTAAACCAAAGAAAACAATTTTGTGAGATCAGAAATAGAACAATAAAGGAACAATTAAATCTGTACAACAGAAACATCATCACTTTACAATGTGTAATGCATTCGATAAGGAAGTTTACAATTAAGTGCTGTTATTTACTTTTTGGTAAATCCATTTTTTCCAGCCCTGCCTCAGTAAATGGCTTTTGCCACTATGAATTTACAACATGTCACAGGGTTTCAAAGCATTAAGGTCTAATGAGGCTTCGGTCAGTGGAAACATGGGTAACTCTGCCTCTTCCAAGATGGATTTCTCCTGATTTAAACGTTGGTGCAGATGTGGATGCTAAAAACAACCCCATGTTTACTGCTTTTTAAGACACCTAATACATTATGAACTTTACCATGTCTGTATCGGGCCACTGAGAGCATGCTGAAAAAACACATTGCAAACAGTTGGGAATCTTGTCTCCATTGAATGTCTTGCTGTTAAGTAAAACCACATAAAAGAAAGTAGAAAAAAAGCGTGGACTTTGAGTGTTTTTGTAATACCGACTATCAACTGAGAAGTGATTTATTGTAATTTCAAGCACACAGGACTAGATTTTTCAATCCTTATCCAGTCCCCTAAGGCTCTTTCTTGAACTATCAACTGTGAAATAATTCAATGCCATTATATTCTTTGTTCCATGGTACACATATTTGGTCAGGAAATAAATAGGTGACAGAATAAACAAAACAGTTTCATTAAAGACATTCTGTATTTCCATTTCTACATTATTTTATCCAAACAGAAAAAAACACATTGTTAATATACAAAAGTCATGCTTTAGGTTAAAATGCAGACATGTAGCTCTACAAAGAGCGCATTTAAATACATTTGAAGCTTAAGTGGAAATCTACCTGAGATTAACCTGTCAATCTAAATGGCTATAAAAGTAGCATTCAGTTAACAATGAACTGGCCTTTCTGGATCTACAGTAGGTAATCGTTTAGGGTTTGTTTGCATTAGATAACAGTGCCATAACCTGATTCCAACACACACTGAATATAATTTAAATGAGGTGATTCAAGGACCTACTGAGTGGCATTTCACCTCCAAACCTCCAAAAGAGTTGGTGTCCTCTGCTGAACTGATTTATGGGTATAAATCAGTTCAGCAGAGGACACCAACTCTTCTCACCTGTCCCACATGTGTTTAAAATGCATTTATGAAGGGTGGTAGTGATGGTGATGATGATGATGATGATGGTCATGGTGGTGATGGTGCTCGTGTCTCTGGGCTGGAGATGCCTGAGCCCCACAGGAGGGCTGAAGGTTGGAAGTTGGAAGTTCCCTGTCTCCCCCTTGTGTGGGTCTTATGTGTGAGGAAGCCTCTAGTGCCCTGGAGCGAAGCCTTCTGCTGTGAGTACGCTGTGCCTGAGGTTGAGGCGAAGAAGGATGGCACCATGAAGCCGGGTGCTGGCCGTGTAGCCTGCAGGACCTTCTCTGTCCTGCATTCCTATCTTTCCCCACCGACATGGCCTTACGCTTCAGGAAATGAGGGTTAGAGAGGCCTCTAGGAGGCTCAGGGGAGATGCAGTTCTCTATGTTCACCACAGGATGATGCTGAGGAGTATCCTCTCTGGGCTCCTGAGAGGGAGATTCTGGAAAAAAGAAGAAAAACACCTTTAATGTTATGTATTTCCAAAGGAAGAAATGTAACAGTTCATGAAATGAAGCAATAGTGGAGTTTCTATACCTGTATTGTCAAACTTTGAGGTATAGTTTTCAATGCCAGCTAGATCCAGGTAGTGGTTCCTGCGCTCCATGTTTTCATCCATGCAATAAAGTCTTCTTACAGGGGTTCCTGGCTCCTGAGACGCACTCTGCTCCTTTTCAACTTTTGTTTTCAATGAGAGAGGGATGTTATCATGACAGCAGCATTGGTGGTTTGGTGTTAAACTAAAATCCCACTGTTCAGAAACGTTTCAGCCAGACTCTCAGTCTGCCCCCATGTTTTCCCCACAAGTTATGCCTATGGTTCCTAGATCCACAATTATAATGGCATTTTACCTATTTGTGAGGTCTTTACTGGGTCAGCAGACGCAGTAACAACTAGCTTTATCTTCAAGGGTGCGGTGCCACCACACGGCTGCTCCAATGATGCCTCTAGAACCTCATACATGGAGTGCATCAGACTGGAAATGTCCTGCAGACCCACACACACACACACTGTGGACAAAGCAAGCTACTTCAGACAGTACTTTATTTAAACAATATGTGTGAAACCTACCTCTTTGATGACATTGCCACTGCTGTTGAAGTTGTACAGTGTGAACACCCACTCCTGCTGAGTGTCCTCATCAAGCCCCATGGTACAGTCGTTGACCTGTATGTGCATATATTGTCACAAAAACAAGTGTATTACTGCTGTAATTTATATGGTGTGGGTTGACCCCAAACCAAAATCAATAGTTTTAAAAATCCCTTGTTGATTAGTATCAGATGTGTGACTTTGCAGAAAGCGCCACAGAGCTTAAAAAATTCACAAAATTCAGAACTATAATTATCCAGACACACTAAAATCCCCATCTGTTACTTAAAGTTGTTTGGAAATTACAAACATGATTTGCAAATTCACTGTAGATTAGTCAGAGATATGGAGGGAAACACTTACACCAGCATGGCTGTTCCTCTTCTTTGTCTGTTTATTGACCTGGAAGTGGTTGCTTTTACCTCTGTCAGGTGTCTTCTTTGGTGGCAGAACCACTAAACAACACACAGAGCTTCACTGTAAATATCACTATCCAGTAGCCTGACTGTGACTATGATTACTGTGTTAAAATACTATGCCTTTGTAATTAATTTCTAAGCTCTGTTTTCAATAAATGTTTGGCAACAGAGAGGAAACTAACTGAAAGCTGTTCATTCAAGGGTCAAAACTTTCCCACACAAATATAAAACAGATGTGTTTTTATTTCATTATTCCCTTAACGAAATGAGACACATCTGAAAAAGGGAGGCGGCCTATTAAAGCTTTTGTGTCAAAACTTTAATACACAAAATCTACACAATAATCATCAAGCCTGTTAAATAATAAATAGAGCAATGTCCGTGTGATGCATGTAAGTCTTTACTCACCTTTAAGGTTGCCGTTTAGGTCAGACTGGTTTTTCCTCACTTCTACATACAAGTTCTGTGGAAAAAGTGACCATGTTGTAAATTAACAGAGAGCACACTTTTAAGAGAGGGAGAGGGGTTAGAAGAGAGGAAGCAATTAAGTGTTTTTTTATGTCCCATGAGTGTGGGGTTTGATCTCTAGATGTGAGCAATGCTGATGTTTTCTTTGTATGTTGAAACTTCTTAAGCTAAATTAACTATTTAAAAATCAGCCTTGGATCAGCAGGAAAATGCATCGTCACAAAGTTGAAAACTGGGCTGTTTTCTGAAAAGCTGAGCTCATGGTGGTGGTTCTCACAGGAGAGCGATCTACAAATATATGATGACCTTAAAGAATATTATGCATTGCTGTAGATTCAACTACTCCACAGTAAATAAATTAGCTCAACCTCAAACATCTATGGCAGTAAAATGCAAAATACACATAAATGCAGCGGTAATATTAATCCATAAACATCATAGTGATAGTAAAACACTGACAGTGATGATGATGATACTTAAGTAAGGTTTTGAATGCAGGACTAGTACATGCAATAGATGATTTTCCCAGTGTGGTATTAAGTAAAGGATCTAAATACTTCCTCCACTACTGACAATCAGTAATTAGATGCTGTCATTTTTCAACAGCCTTAGTTCCCCATAAAACTTCAGAGCACTATAAAACTTTAAGATTTATATCCATTTCTGTGATCTTTAAAAAAAGAGCCTGATCATGTATACTTGCTCTTCTGTCAGGTAGAAACCGGTCTGTGCTGCAAAGCTAGAGACACATGAAAAACACCAGCAAGACTTTTCTTATCTCTCAACATTCATCACCAATGCCACACTGATGCTTGAAAACGATAAGATGAGCACACACCCTCTGCTCTCTGCCCGCCACGCTCTGCCTGCTGATGCTGGGTTTGATTTCCAGTGAAAGTGGTCTGGGAGGTGGAAGCGACGGTGCAGATAACAGAGAGGTGTGCACTGGGAAGAAACCTCTTCTTCCTTTTCTGTTATACCCCATCATTATACAACTTGTCATCACAAAATTTCAAGTGTTAGCTAAACAGTAGCTGCCTTTGTCTCAACAAGAATGTCTCACAGCCTGACTGATAACTTCATACCTAGACAGAATGTTGCACTGTAAGACGGGACAGGAACGCCCATGTTAAGGTCAACAAGCTGCCTTAACAGTTGTGCATGTGAAGTGTCCATAAAAAGTCACATGAATTATTAGACAACCTTACAGAAAAAAAAAATTGGCTTTTAACACAAAATGCTACAAATTCTAGAGCAATTATCAAACAAAAGAGGAATGTAACTGAACAAACTGAGTGTCTAGAGTGGATTTTGCACTGGAGGGTGGATTACCAACAGAATCACAAGGTTAAATCATTTCCTTTGAGCTTAGAAGTCAAAGTAACCACTCCTAGTTGTTAGGTATGTCAGACATTATGATGCTGATGGGTGGAGAGATTAAAACCTTGGTCATGATGTTTGTACTTGGATTTTACAATATTTACACAGTGTTAATAAAACACACACACACACACACACACACACACGTGTATTTGACAGGTAAGTATGTAAATATTCAGGTACTTGGCCTGTGTGCCTTCAGGAGCACACTTTTTGTGTCACAACTATTGTTTAGTTATGAGTGTGTTGTCAAAGTTTTAAAGAGAAACATCATATTTATGTCAGCAATAATTTTTTTAAAACTGTGAAACTCTGTGGAAAACTCTTTCAATATTAAATTAAGGCGGAATTTATACCAAGGATGCAAAAGAGGGTATGGTGGAAGACTAAACGCTGACAGAAAACAATATAAGATGTCTCGGAGAGATGGTGTCATGGAGTATGACACTAAATTACGCTGGAAAATCTAATTGCAGGAAGCTCTCTGTCATTAAGAGGCACAGAAACTCCACCATGACCCTATACACCTTGGCTGAGTCGACATCTTTTTCCAAACGGTAGATCTTTCCAGAACTTAAATACAGCATGGTACGAATATTTCCTCAACTTCTAACAAGTTTCTAAACCTTTATAAAGATGATAAGTGGAAATACTGCACCGCTAAGCTACACTCTGGTCTTTGGAAGCACATTACAACATCTATGATCTACTTTCACCACAAAATGGTTACAAATTAGTGTGTTTATAGTTAATAGGAGAGTCTATGACTGTTTTCCACAAATAAAACTTAATGAAGAGGACAATTTATCTTCTCTTTAACAGTTTCCGAGTCCCAAATGTGACTGCATCATTAATGCTTACATGTGATGCCTCTTACGCAATCAAACACCCCTCCCCACATGTTCCTCCACCCTCCCCACAGTCTGTCTGTCTGGAGCAGGAAAGCAGTACCAGATGTGGAGACTTTTTTTCAGTGCAGTCGGGTATAAAGACCTCGCTGTTCGGACGGGGTGGCTGTGTTGCACTTCACAGACTTGGACGTCCCTTTATAGAGAGATGGAGGAGGAAGGGCGGAAAAATAAATATACGACTGCCTCCAAACACCTTTTATGTCTCCTGGATGTGATGTGAGCAAATACAGTTAATCCTCAAAACTGGCTGAACTGGTGTAAAGCTCTTGGCAGTGCAATAAACCATTAAAGGGAGGCTGTGTGTGATTTTAATTCTTTTTTTTTTTCCTCCATGGGAAATGAATTAATGCTTTTAAGAGAATGTTCTGGAAGAGAAAACTAATGTATTGTTAGATATTGTCAATTTAATGTCATGGCCAGTCATTTTATTAATATAATAAATATGCCACCCTTTATCCTGACTCTTGATTCTGACATGAATTCCCTAAAAGCCCTCTATTATGTTCAATACATCTCTGGAGCTGCAGTGCTAAATTGACTAAATTATTAACTATAAGTATCTAACCTTTGGCTGTGATATTACATGTGACCAGTTTCAAGTCTATCTATCTATATGATCATCAATACAATTCCATTACAGTATTGAAGGATGAAAAAAAGCATCATGGGATCTTTTTTTTTTATAATAGGCAGGCTACCTGGAGTGGGCGCCCTCAGAGTTTAGTTTACCTAAATCCAAAGTGGTTAGTCTGCATGAATATAGGTAATGCTAAATTAAGCGAGGTGAATGATACAAACAGATCGAAAATGTTTCTACCTCTGTCAGTTTGGTTTTGTGGATATGGAATCGCTCCAGCTCCGTTTGACAGGTCTGCACATTGGAAGCCAAACTACCACCTGCAGAACATAATAAGAAGTATTTGAACATAAGTAAAAAGTGCTGTTTGTACAGTATTTGCGTTTACTGTCTTACCCTCCGGACTCTGTCTGCGTTTCGAAGCTGTCCAAATAACGAGAGAGAAGATAATACTAGTCAGAAACGATTCCATCTTTTTTTTTTTTTAAACAAAACAATTTGAGGTGTAAAAAAACAACTCACCAAGTTTGGACTGGAATTTTCCCATACTCCTGGCTGGTCATGTGATCAAGAAGTATTCATGATGTCCAATCCATTAGGGGGGGAAAAAATACATTTGAGGAAACAATCATCCCCCAACAAGCTCGCAGGGAGACTATCCCACACTTCCACACCGGACTTCACAAAGTTTGGTTTATCAAAGAGTATATACGCAGAGCGAGAGGCTTCACCCCTGCGCACTTCCTTCTTCGGCTGACTAGACTGCAATATGTTCTGTTTCTTACTATTTAACCCTACAGCACAATGTTAATAATGAGAGACAGCTTCTTGTTGTAAGCTATACATACAGTTGTGATTATGTATCTTATGTGTGCATTTACACACAGGTTTGACAGTAGACGCAATCTGATAATCTACAAACAAAAAAACTCCATCAAGCAACCTTGCAAATGTGTCCCTGCTTAAGACCGATAGCTCACTACTCTGGTTTATATGAATCATGAATATTGGGTGTCGGTTTCAATCAAATCTTAATTATCATCTGTAGGATCTAAATTCTGCCCTGTAGTAGCAAAACCGAAACACTGGCGTCTTGAACGCCCTGTGTGCGCGCAAGCTTACTACACTTAACCTGCCTTTTTAATATGGCTGTGTTTATATACACGTCGCTGCTGATTGGGTAAGACCTCTCACACACCCACCAAACGACAGAAAACACAGCTACATCAAAGCCCGTTGCGCACCGTTTCTAGGAAACACAACCCGTAAACCGGTGCAAAATGTTTTGACATTGAACGTGCCCCAGGTAATGTCTTCGCCACCAGTTTTATGTTTCCATCTTTATCTCAGTCGCACTGGCACAAAGACACCACTGTTAAGCATCATCACACAACTCAGCTGTAAATTAGTCATCAAGAACATCACACATCAGATAAGCAACATTGGGACTTAGCACTTTGTCTCTATTACTGTAATCTATTTTCTTTTTTTGCCACAATAAAGACTTTTACATCTTAATTCACAAAAGTGAAAATGTAAAAAAAAAAAAGTCATTTTGGTCTACTGGCCACACATTAATACTATTTTTTAAACAATCACAGATGAAATGGATGGTCAAAAAGAGCTTTTTTTATTACTAAATACAAAAGTAATATTCCAATGTCGCAGTTGTGCAAACAACTTGTTTGAAATGCAGCTACATCATGTTTCCTTTGTATTAAATTACAACCCGTCTTCAATCTGAAGTAATGGCTGTGGTTAACAACCATTTTTGTTTTCTTTATATTACATAAATGTACATATGTCTGTTTAAAAGCAACAGACTAAGTCCATGTCACAGTTCTGTTAACTGCTACCACTGACAGACTCTTTGACAGTGAGCGCTGGTGTGGGTCCTATGTGGGTCCAGATGTAGCCTTTCTCTGGTCGAATGGGGATGGTGGGAAACGGAGAGCTCCGTGACTTGAAATATTCAGAGGGGGCGTGGCACACAAACTCCAGGTACTCCATCTTTCTGGGCAGATCCTCCTCGGGACCTGATACAAAATCGACAGTTCTTAGATTGTCACATAAATGGCGTAGAAATAATACAATTTTCATTTATCATTGCTCACCAACGATGTATGTGCCAGGATCAAACTGGTCCTTTGGGCTGGCCTTTGTGGGGATCAACCAGGTCAAGGCAGCACTCTTTTCACAGTACTGGTCCTGCACGAAGCCTCGAATCTGAGCATAGTACGGCTTCCCGTCTTCCTCATCTGTTACCTTGATCACATCTCCTGTCTGGTAGTATACACCCTGTGGGTACAAACAAAAACAGAGGATGAGGCTCCTTCTCTCACATGTATGACAGGATGAAGGTCTGGTACAACTGTGCAGTAATTAAAGCCACAATTACATGAGATTATTTTTGCTTGGTAAGAATAAACACCATACCTTATAAAATACGGATTCTGACGTGATGATTGTTGCAACGGATTCTGGTGCTTTGATTGGCTAAAGAAAGAGATCACACACAGGAGTCAAACACATGAACTCATAGTGAAGAGAAACAACTAAATTTGCTGATTAAATCCATCTTTGACTTACATTTTTGAGTTGAATATGTGTCTTCTCCCCTTTCCTTTTGTTGACACCTTCTTCTCAGAAGCAGGTGCTTTGTACTTGGTGCTTCTCAGCCGTGCGGACCTCCTGTGGATCTCCTGCTTGGACTGCACACCAGATACTTAGTTGCATTCAGCACAATTTTCCTAGCTGACATTCATTTTACCTGTAGCAACATTTAATTGGGCTGCAGCTAAATGATCATTGGGTAATAAACTATAAGAAAAAATAATAAATGTCCATCATAATGTGTCCTGGTGCCTTCCAGGTGCTTGTTTCGATTCACAGTGATACAGAAATCAGAAAAAGGCAGCACATTTCAACATTGCTAAGCTGGAATTAGCTAATTTAAACATTTTTATTGATCCTTAATTCATTAAAATTTAGTAAAACATCCTTAATATCCCATTAAACTCGCCGGGGGCGTTTATTATAACGTAAAGTACTTATTCACATTACAATGTTATATTGCTGTTTGCCTGGCTTAATGATACAAAACTGGGCTGTAATTGAAGTCCACAAACAGGCATGTGAACTCTACTTTAGAGAGGGGGGTTCCCTTTAAAATAGTCCCCAAGAGAAACATTAAATGTAAAGGGCACATTAACAGGCAGTGACCGACCTGCTTTCCTCCGCCATTGCTGGGCTGAATGATGGAGGACATGGTGGGTCCCGATGCTCCGCCGCTGCTGCTCTTCCCTGTGCAGTTGTTGCAGAGGATCTCTCCCTGGTTTCCCTTCTTCCACATCGACGAAGAGTTCGTCTTGCAGACAGCACAGCATGGTTTCAAACCCAGTGGCATCGTTAGTGGTCGGAAAACGACGCTAGGGTACGAGGGAAATTACCGTCAATACTCAACAATGAGACGGCGGCTGCTCGTTCAGCTCCTACTAACTGTGTAATATCCAGCAGTAACACACCGCTGTGGCTCCCGCAGGTGACACAAACACAGAGGAAGATATAGACAGATAAACGACTAGCTACGAGATCAGAGGAACAACGATAATCACGACAGCATCAAATAGCAGCCGGGGTTGTTTATTTTCGCTGCCACATCACCGCCATTGCAAACGCCACTGTTTCTTCTTCTTTGCCTCTATTGACATTGGCTCTTCTTCTGTGGTTTGCTATGTGGATGAAAAGCGCCACCACTGGACTGGAGGAGACTGCGCCCGCAGCTCAACCAGCTACGGAGCTGGGACACAATGGGGACACAATGGGGACACAATGGGGACACAATATAATCTTAGCGTTAATACATAAACAGTATGACGGGATACAGTCCAATATGTTGGGGGAAATACAATTAAAATAACCCCACATCTTTTCATTATACTCTATATTTTACACATTTGTTGTGCAATGCATGCAATACTGTGTTACTGTGTTGGCTGCCGTAAATAAATGATAATTTTAATAAAAAAACATCCAATAACATATGAATCAATCAATCAACTTTATTTCAGACACAAAGGTCCATATCAGTAAAATAAAAATAAAATAATGAGATACAATGCAAGGACACATACATAAATATGTACAGAATCATATTTCACCATCCACAGGGATTATAACATGCACAGACATTGTTTCCAATTTTACCAAAAATCAAGAGGAATACCTTTTGTCACTTTGTGTAGGCTCTGTTACACTGTAAAACATTATGCAAGTTAGCTCAACTTAAAGATTACCTTTGTTTTAACTCACAAATTAAAGTTTATAAAGTTGATATAACTACAGTGTTCTAGTTCTCTTAATGTTGTTGGGTTTTTTTTAAAGTTGAGTAGACATTTATAACTTGTTTCAACTTTATACTTTGAGTTGAAACAAATAATTATTTTACTTTATCAGTGCAAGATAAACTTCCCTTAAAACCAATGTACATTTCTGCATTATTCTAACTGACAGTTAAAACAACTTAAACACATTTATACTATTTTCCCTTTCAAGTTAAAAGGATTTGAATTCCAGATTTATTTCAGTTTACATGTATAAGGCCCCTCCATTGGTGGCACTGGTCCTTGCTTGTTTACCACAAAAGTGTCTATATTTCAGTTGGAATTTGAATACATGACTTACCAGCAGTGTATAGTTAGTTGATTATGTCCATGTTTCAACTTTGCCATGGTTCAAAGAAGACAGTTTCTCTCAAACTCAATAGAGGCAGCAACTATTTGTTCTCTCTTGCTCCTATCCCCGCACACCTATCTTTTTTAACATACAGATCTGACAAAAATCTCAATTAGTAAACACAATGAATTAATGCAAGTTTAACTTTCAAAAACTCAAACAGTTGAGTTCAAAATACCAAACTGTCAGAGCTCTTTGACCTAAAAAGAAGAAGTAAGTGGACATTACTAAATGTGACAGTAATGATTTACATAAAGCAAATATTTTTTTCATTTTTGGACTCAATTAGCCGACACATACAATTATACATGAAATTCTGCAGTTAGTAGTCACAAACATATGACTTGCACTTTTCCATCTTGGGAGCTTAAGCGAGATTCTGAATGCATCATTAAATTCCTCCTGTAGCTTTTTCATTTTTGCTTTACTATAACTGCACCACCTGTGTGCTGTATAGAGTGAAATGAAGGAAAATAAAGATTCATGTGTGGAAGGGGATGAAATATTCAAAGGAATCACTTAAACGTCTAAATCAATTTTAATGCTGATTTTGGAAAGACTTTTAGCTCCAAAAACAGGAGGTGATTTATAAGTTCTACATTTTGTTTACAAGGAAATTGACCTTTTAGTCTTGTTTTATGATCACAAAAATAATGTTCCTTTATTGGAAAGGTAAAACATTGCATGTTGAGTGAAACCATTGATTTTGATTTTTGTACTATTGGGATTGGTTTGTACCCTGTGCCATAAAAGCATTAAATTCACAGCCAATTTCCCGATGCCACTCCTGTGTAATGTGTAGATATGTGTGTGTATGTGTATTATGTGTAGGCCTAGTATGTGTGTGTTATCTATGCTGAAGGTTGTTTTTTTTTAGGATAATGTAGTATCCAATATTTATGTATTTGACTCATAACAGTTCAAAATAGCAC